GGCTGTAACCTTCATGAATATTTATTTTTTCAGCAATGAAGGAGCAAGTTTACCCAACAGCTTTTCTAACTGATTGTCTGCAGCACAAGGAAGCTATGGCCACGTTAATGCAAGCAGTRGTAGTTTATTGTTTTAGTAGACACTTCTTTTTCCTTCCTTTTGAATAAATACACCGCAGGGTCTGGGAGGACGTGTGCCAAGAGCATTACTGGGCGCAGCCACAGCCGAACAAAGCGCAATCCTAATCATAACAGAGYGAGCAAGTATTGTTACAAATGTTCTCTTTAGTATGGAAATGAGCCAGGGGTAATAAAAACACCATAAAAACGTCAAAATGACCGATCACCGCGAAGCGCTGGCCTTTTTATAACCAAAACTTGCAACGAACTTAGAAAAATTCCCGTGTTAAGAGAGATGCCATTTTTACTTAACATTATTGTTCGACTTCTTCTCAGTTGGTTAAATGATTGCAGAAGAGAACAAGTTCAGAAGGGCATCAGTAAAGACCTGATTGGTATTAAATGGCATTTGAGCACGATGGTGAACTCAGGATGGGAACAAACTGGGCATTGACATTAACACTGCTACTGCCTCTTTATGGGAAYATGGGACATATTTAGGTGCTAATTGTTTGAACAGCATCAATAACACATAATGCTTAATAAGATACAAATGAAGAGCAGTGTAACTCGTGTAATTCCATCAGAAAAYGCTCAGGAACAGCAGCTTGACTGTAATTACTCAGATCAAAGGGAAAAAGGCATTTTGAAGTCTGGTCTAAAGTGTTATTTATTACTCCTTTCACTAAAGCATAGATCAGCTCGGATAGAAATAGCAATTTGGGCTGGATTTGGTTAGTGAAAATGCAGAAAAAAAAAGAATATTCATTGCTTTGCTGATGTCCACACATATTGGAGGATATATTAAATCCCAATTACAGCAGAAACTGGCAGAAAGGAAAAGAGAAAAGAAAGAAACAGTAAGTGTGTGAGCTGAAATGGGGACAAATAAAGGTCATTACTCCATGTATTGCTTGCAGAGACCCAAATCTGATAAACACAAAGGTGCCTTGGCTATATAAAATATATATATAAAATAAATGGGCACCCTCTTTCCTCCAGACTCCATAAATAGACAACATATATGTGCCCCATAACAGTGACTATAACATCACTATTTCAAATGTGGTTTTACTAGTCATCATTTCCGATTTCCAACCACAATAATCCACATTTTTGGAGCTGGGACTTGCTCATGGCATTTTTACATACGTTCCAAACTTTTAAAAGCTGAGAATCTTGGGCGAAGAAATGCATTTCTGGTAAGTTAAGGGGAAGAGAAAGTCTATACCCACAGCACCCTACTGATTAGCATTTTCTGCCAGGTCCAGAGTACAGAACTGACCTGGCAGGTGGTCTGGGTGCATCCCAGCACATTTGGATGACAGACCCTAACCCATCCCAGCACATTTGGATCATAAATTCACAGAATGGAATGGGTTGGAAGGGACCTTTAAAGGTCATCTGGTTCCACCCCCCTGCAATGACAGGGACATCCTCAACTAGRTCAGGTTGCTCAGAGCCCTGTCCAACCTGGTCTTGAATGTTTCCAGGGATGGGACATCCACCACCTCTCTGGGCAGCCTGATGTTTCACTATCCTCATYRTAAAAGAAYYTTTTYCTTATATCTAGTCWKAGATTTTAACATTTAAAGAGKAATGAGAAACTGCAGGATATTAAGAGGGTGTAATTGGTCAGTGGTCTGTAATTTGTCTCACTGGTTTGGTTCTGTGTCTTGGCGCTCCCTGCATTTACAGGATCGTCAAGGTTGGAAGAGAYYTTCAAGATCATCCAGCCCAACTCTCAACCCATCACATCCACAATCACCCCTAAACCTCCAAGTGCCACATCCAGACACCTCCTGAACACTTCCAGAGATGATRACTCYACCACCTTCCTGGGAAACCTATTCCCATGCCTAACCACTGTTTCAGTGAAAAATGTATTCCAGTTATCTAATCTGAACTTCCACTTGTGCAGTTTAAGGCCATTTCCTCTCATCCTCATTGAGCCCAACCTTCACCTCACTACACCTCCCTTTATTTCACTACACCTTCCTTTCAGGCAGCTGTGGAGAGCAGTGAGGTCCCCCCTGAGCCTCCTCTAGACTAAATAACCCCCAGTTTCCTCAGGACATACAGGATGACAGWCTCTATCCCACCCCAAAACACCTGAGGACAGACCCCAGCCCATCCCAGCACATTTGAATGACAGACCCTTGTGAGAACACACAGGGYCACGCTGCTGTTTGCACAAAGCGGCTGTAAATGTTGATGCAGAGCCCCAGTTTATATAAATAAGGCCATGACTGCAGCTGGGAAATGCTGGGATCACAGTGCCTGGAGGCAGCTGGAGCTGGGGGTGCAGCCTGGATGTGYAATTGGGTGCCCATCGTTGCTGTGGGGTCACTCACACAGCCAAGGGCATGGACATGCTCTGGCATCTCCTTTTCTCTGCAGCTCAACTGCATTTCCTTAGGGCCAGAAGAGACCACTAGGTTGACCTCATCTGGGATCTATGAATCCCTTTCTCCCAATAACATTCCCAAAATCTTCCATCCAGCTGAGCACACTGTACACAAAGCACCCAGCCTTGAAGATTTTGAGCTGCAGTGTCTACCTGTTCCATTGACAGCTCCTTCCAAAACGTGTGTATTTTCTGTCTGTGTGTCTGGCTTCATACTGGGGCCATCATTAATTCCTGCCACATCTCTGTGTCCATGGGCCAGCCAGTGCAAAGATGTAAAAACCTTGCAGTGACTCCATGTGTCTGACTGATTTCCCAATGGACACAGCAGGGATTTTTTTCCCACTGGCATCTGCAAGAGCTGGAGTGAGCTCTGTGTGGGGAATAATTCATACTGTAGGGGTCTCTYMCAACYTAAATGATTCCATGTTAAYCAYCGACTTTGAGAAATTTGGAATCCTGGTATGCTCAAAGTGCCTCATGTAGGCAGAGGTGCTGACCAGGTAGGAAAGCCATAATAAATTCTCCATTAATATCTGACCACCTCCCAAGGTTTCCTCACCTCTGCATCTTTCCCAGGTCTTTATTTCAGTATTTTAAACCTCTCAAGAGTTTCAGACAGCCACAGAAATGCAGTCAACAGAGAAATATTTCCTCTTTCCCACCCCAAGTGTGCAATTTCTGCACAGGGATCTTTGGGTCAGRGGCCCAGGTCAGGTCAAGATGAAGTCTGGGTGAGGGCCAGCTTTTCTGAATTTAAGATGTCACAGCTTGGACATTTGCTGGCTCTGGAGTGAGTAGTGAGACATTCACAGGTTTGCCTCAAAAGAGGTGGAGGWGCTGGGCTTGACCTTGAAATCCCTGCTCCACTCCAGGTACTCCAAAATTTCACCTTGCTGATTAAAATTTGSCTCCCAGTGCAGTTACAGCATCTGGCTCTACAAGTGAACAGATTAAAAACTGKTTTTTTGTTTCCCACTAAAAACCAGAAACCTTTCCCAACCCATCAAAAAAGTAATGCCTCTGCTAGATTCACAGAAGCTACACAAAATACTGGACCATGCTGTGGTACCCAGATAAATTTACAATCTTTCTGCTTTGCCCTCCAGCACACACTCCTGATGTGTGCTGACACACAAACCCACACAGAGCCATCCTTCCCTTCAAAACACAGAACTCAAACACATATTAACACAATTCCAGGCTTTTATTCCTTTTTTTTCCTGCAACTTTTATTACAAAGCCACAGACACACCGTGCCATTCTGTCTCCTTTGATGTGTCCAGTTACCGTATTTGTCACCGACAGAAAACAACACAACACTTTTTTATCTTCAATGTCTGATAAGTTTTCATTTCCAAAGGGGCCGACCACAGAAAGATTGTCCATACAAAGTTTAAAAATGCCACGCAGAAACTGGCAGGTAAACCCATGTTTGATCTGTAATGCAAATAAAATTAACAAAGATAATGAGTTTTAAGCCTAAAATTCCTTTGATCTTTGAAGCTCCATGGTTTTAAAAGCACAACTRCCCTTCTGTACCACAACGTGGGATGTACATCTATATGCCTATATGCACATGTATACAAATATATAAAACAAATTTTTCTATGTTCAACATAGGGTCAGTTACTAGCTGGCAAGACAATGGATTTCTTTAAACACCCTCTATTCAGGAATCAAGATGTATCCAAATCTTTCCCCACTGAGTAAAAGCCATATTCATACACAAGCATGACCTGGTTGAATTTATTTAAACAATGGAAGACTTTCCAATCTATGCAAGGCACAATCAAGCCCTAAAATTCAATGGCATGCAGTTGGGCTTGGGGCAGAGTGACTCAGAAGAGCGCTTGCAGATATCCTTTGAAGGAAAAAAATTCCTCAAAAATGTGAAATCCACCCAGGCACAGCAAGCCAGAGCAAGGCTCAGACAAAAAACGCAGCACCTCGTAAACAGGGCATGTGATGAYATTTTCCTGGGGGGAAATTTCACACCATTTTTGGTGCTCAGGATGGAGCAGATACTCCAGACAGGATGAGATCCCCACGCTTTTTACAAATCAAGACCTTTGTAGATTCCCTCATGGTGCATCCAAAACCAGAGCTGCCTTCTCAGYCCAGCTGCCCTGGGCTGATGCACCATCCACGCTGGGTAGTTTAATGCAGAATTTGCCTTTGGAGACCTCTGCCAGCAGCACTAGAAATTTATCTTTAATTCAGGAGCTTTGAAGGGCAAGAAGAAGCCACTCCTTCCACTTGAACCATCTGGCAAAATGTAAAGATTTTGACTGCACGATACAGCACCACAGAGATGAGTCACAAGGGGCAGAAGGCACTGGTGCACAGCCTGGAATTCTGTGCTGTGTGGGAAATGCAGGATTGCTTCTCTCAACCCACTCACCCTCTCTGAGGCTCAGAGATAGAGCTGCCACTTGAACCAGTGCTGTCAGAAAATCTCTCAGGGTTTGCTCAGAGCTCAGTGTTCACTTCCACCTCTGAAGTTGGAGTCAGTACCACTCACAGCACGGGTTAGAAGCGTCTCCTCTGGCCCAGAGAGCAGAGAAGGGCACGGGCTCACAGGGAATTCTGCCCTTTGCCATGTCCCTAATGCTGCTGGAATGTGCAGGAGCCTGGGACACACCATAGTGGAGTGAGCATCTTCCCACAGGCACAAGGTATGAGAGGTAGCCCTTAGTATCTCTCATGGAAACAAACTCTCTTCCTGAAACAAATGTGATGCCCTTAGTGTACAGAGTTTTTTAAATTTATTCTTTTTAATTAAATGACTCAACATACTATAGCCATTAATAACTCCTGCCCAAACCATGCCTTACATCCATGCCTCATATGGATGTAAGTGCACACATTTATATCAGTGCTCACATTTAAACTCCTCTCAGCTCTCCCTGAGGATGAGAGAATGCATATGAAGATACCCTTAATCTGAATTTAGCTTTTAGGATTTCATAAATTCATATTAACAAGGTTTAACTGAACCCTCCTGCTGAAAAAGAAATAATAGTTTTCAATGTGCTGCTTTATTACAACCTCTGCAGGAGGAGCACCACGAGGGATGGTCTTCCTCKAGGGGTTATTACATGGATAACCTACTCCCAAGGTAAGAAAAGGACTTTTTGGAGCAGAATGTATTGAAGAAAGCAGGATCTGAYGTGTTTCACTGAATTGGGGCCCCCTCTCACAGCGCTACGGCTGAGCAAACAGGGAACTGTTTGGTTTGCTGGCGATTCAAACAAACCACCAGAAAAAAAAATCACTGCGGGTCAACACAGAGCAAATACCTTCAGAAATGTTCAGGGAAAAGCAAAGCCTAAAGCACAGCTTTGTTTCAGATTAAATAAAGTGTTTCACTTTTAAATGGAGCAGCTGGTTTGGTGAGGATCTCTTTCATGGAACAGGCTTGAGCAGGAAGTAATTCCAAACTTAACAACTAGCATGCATCAAATTTTCTTTTTTTTTTTACCGTCAAACTTTAAATTAAAAGAAAACAGTTGCAGCATTGCTAAACCTGCCTTCTCCAAAGAAAATTCTGGCCCCTGAAGAGCTGTGTGCCTCTCAGTGGTGTGCAGCAGAAGGAAGGTTCAAGCCCCACTGAAAGGGATCAGATCCTGTGTTCTCTCCTCACTGTGCCCAGCTCACCCTCCACTGGCTCCTCCAGCAGCTGCAGTTACAAATTAAGTGTTTCACCCACATTTCATGATTTCCCCTTCCAAGAACCCTGAGGCCAAAGCTCCTTTTACAGCTTCACAAGTTATTATGCTTTGATTTACAAAATTTTCTTAAAAAAAAAGACAAAACCACAACAAACCACTGCAGGTTTGGTGCTTAAAAAAAGAATAAAACATCCTCCCCACACCCCCCAAAAATGCATAGTGAAACAGCTTTCCCTGCTGCTGAAGATGGCTGGGGTCCATGAGAAGTGATCTGGCCACRGCAGATCCTCACAGCCAGAATATAGACAATGGAAAAGGCCAATTTCTGATGGACAGGATGGTACCAGCAGCATCTGAGGTGACAGGAGATGACACCTGGCTAGTGAGAAAAGGCATAGAGACARGTGGCCTCCAGGTTAGGAGAAGCACAGCTGGTCATAAGCTACATCGAGTGTATTCTGAGCATGGCACCTACAGAACCTGAAAAAAAAAATCTTTATTTTCTTTGATCAAAAATACGTATAGAAATGCCTGTTTCGAGGAAAATATCATACATTTTTCTTTTCTTGTTTAACAAAATAAATTAAATATACATGACTTCTGTTTAAACTCTATATAGAATTACAAAGGTTTTATATTTTGCAATTGGATTCATTYCCAGTCCATATAGGTATTTAATATGGTCCTTATTTATTTTCTCTTCCATTTTTACTGTTGTTTGAACTGCAATGTTTCATCATTTACGAAGTGATATCTGAGGGAAGGGGACAACCACACACAACCTAGGTGGGTATTTCTCAAATGCATTTTCTTCCTACAAGATTACTTCATTCTCTTTGCTTCTTACTATTTTTTTCTAATGCTTTCATGTACTTTGCATTGATGCAGAAAATCCAGCAGCTTCTCACTGTAAGCCATCAGAGAAGGACAGTGTGTTTTGTTTTCTTCACCATCAGCAGTTCAATTATTATTATTATTAATTATTATTATTTCTTAAATATAAATATAAAGGTGTTCTGTACAATGTTCCTCTTTCCTTCTTTCCTTTTTCCTGGCAGTGGCACTGAGTCCTGGGACCAGGGGATTGGAGTTGATCTGCAGAACATCCCAAGAGAAACAAGATGCCTTCACCTTGCAGAAGCTGAACCGACCAGCTTGGTTTGCTGATTGTGCTGACCATGACTGAGAAGCACCTGGCATTTCACCTTGTGAACAGAAATTGTGTTTTCCAGACCCTCTTGTGTTATTTTTCCTCCCTGGAAGAGATGAATGGCTCACGTCTCCTGGTGCTTTGACACTAAACCTCAAGTACGTCAGAACTTGAGTTCCCCAGAGCGGGACAGGACTGGGGGCWTCCCACCAAAGCAAGGGATGCACAGCTGGCACAGGAACAGCTGTGCCCATCCAGGAAAGTACCACACACACCTCTGGCTGTATCTGCTCCTTTTCAGTAACACAAGGAAGGAGATGGTGGTTCACATCCCCGTGTCCCGTCTTGCTTGTTGCCACTTCRATTAAAATATCCAGGAAGGCTCTGCTGCTGGAGACAGCTGCCCCTCTGCTGTGATTTGGAGTTCCTTCATTATTCCTTGGCTACATCCTGATTGCAATAATTAAAAAAAAAAAAAAAATCTCTTTTCTCTCTCTGTCTTTCTCTATTATATATATATTTATATAGATAGATATAGATATATACACATATATATATACACACATACACACACGCATATACAATTATATATATATGTATATATATATTTAAAATTATATATATATATATAATCTTTTCTGTCTGCTTTGCCTGCTGCTGGCAGTGAGAGCTGACTCGGAGCAGTCTCTGCTGAGGTACCACGAGGAAAAGCCCAAAAGAGCCACTGTACACGGGGCCAACCCTTAGCACTGGTACTGGATGTGCTGGTGCTGGTGGACCTTGCCCTCCACGTGCGAGTGGGTGTGGGTGTGGATGTCCGTGTAAATCTTTGGGTACATTTTGGAGGCCATGGCAGGGGCCAGGGCAGGCCCCTGGGACAGTAAATGCTGCTGCTGGGCCACGTACTCCTCGTAGTTGATGGAGGAGATGCAGTCTTTGTCGGGGAGCTGCGGGACGCAGATCCTGTCGCGGGGCTGCGGGCGGTGCGCSGGGGCGGCGGCCGGAGGGGAGCACGGCTTCTTCTTGGACTGGCACAGCCACAGCAGGATGGTGCCAAAGATGAAAACAGCCCCGGCAGGGATGCCRATGATGACGGGCCAGGGAAGGCTGCTGGCTGAGGAAGGGGGCACAGGTGCGCTCGGGGGTTTGGGATCTGGTGAGACACAGAGAGAGACAGAAAGAGTTAATCAAACGCAGGCAAAGCGGATTCAAAACAGATGTCACACCCGGGCTGGCTGACAACCCTGCCAGACCAAGTAAYGAGGGAGAAATCAAGCCAGCCCATGATGTTTGGTAACTGCTTTACTTCTCAGCGCTCCTGGAAGGACAAGAAACTCATTTTCTCTGGTTTAGGGGTCAGGAGGGKAGTCTTTGGGGGATTTTATAACTCTCTTGTCCAAGTTTTAATGGATGCACACTAGAGCCAGCCTGAGATGGTTTCCAACACTCTCACTCTGCGATGGAGTGGGCTTTGCTGCCCAGATTGAAGGACACAACACAGGACATGCCAGTAAAACCTCWCTGTCAGCAGCCCAGGAGGCACAGTCAGGMTKCYCAGAGCCACAGCACGCTGCCCACCMASCCCTGCCAGGAGCAGCTCTGAATGCAAGGGCTTCAGACACTCTTTATCAACCCTGTCCGGCAATCCTGGAGCTGCTCAGCAATGCKCCACCATGGCAGGGAGAAGGAATGTGGGGTTTTGGAGGTGTTGTCTTGAATTTCTTGTGTGKCTGGGAGGAAAGCTGAAGGATGGGAAARATRTAGGTGAGCTGGTGGCCCAAGCCAYGGAGAACTCAAAGTTCMCTCAGCATTGCAGTGTGTCCCCAGCTTCCTTCACCAAATGGGCTCTCCCTCCACCAGTCTCTTCACAGCTGCTGTTGGCTTTTCAAGGGCAATAAATTCAGCTACTGGAGGAAATAAAATACTTTGGACACCATCTTTAGACAACTACCTCCTCTTTTATCTCTCTGCTGTTGGCAGTCTGCACATTCCAGGTTTCTCAGCCTGATTTTCTGATTTGTAGACCCAAAAGGAGTCCTGGGGTAGGATTCTAGCTATGAAAATCCTTCTCTAGGTGGCTACCAGCTGGACTATCCAATGCCTCGAAGCATACCCAGGCACAGAACTCAGCTTGCAGGGAGACACTCGGGAAACTTCAAATACCACAGGCTATCCAAATCATTCAGTATGTTATAATCAAACATGTATCACTTAACTTTAAACCAAACTTCTTTAAGACACTAAAGTCTTTTTCTCTCCTTGACAAATAATCCTATGGGCAGTTTGAAATGTTAAATATATACCATGTGGTGTCTTTGAAGTTAGGAGGACCTACACTTTGACCTCAATAGATGAAACTTTTGATTCACCAGCACTGGAAATTACAGAATAATTTAGGCTGGAAGAGGAGTCTGGTCCAGCCCCCTGTTAAAAACATGACAGGAACAGAGAACTGACCCATCAGCTGACCACGAAAACAGAAGTCTTCATGTTGGTTGGCAGAAATCCTACGCTAGGCTGATGTTTTGATTCATCCATGTTCCTTGGAGCTATCTATGTCAAATCTGGTAGATTTACAAGCAAAATGGTCTTTTTTAAACTCATGGCTTTACAACCACATCTTTGCATTTTAGGGAAATCTGTGTTCTCCTTCTCCATCACTGCCAAAAATAACAGGCCTGCAGGCTCTGGTTCTGGCATGAGGCCTCATCACAGTCCCATTTAAATCCAAGAAAATCTCCCCCTGATTTCAGTGGGAGCTGGATCAGACTCTCATAGGTCAGAAATTCCCAGAGGCTTTGACTTATATCCCACCCATGCTGCTTTTTCCTTACTGACAGGCCTTTCAGTTAGAGTGTAGTCCTAAATCCAAAATATTTATCAGGGTAGAACTGCACAGTCAGAAGACAAAGGAGAAAATGACCAGGCAATGTCTCAAACACATTGGATACAGTCTCAGTTGGATGTGGCCACCAGCTCTGAGGTCTGGGGAGAGAAGGCAACAGCTGCAAGTTTGGTAGAGGGGCCCCAGAGGACCACTGGTTAAGAATTTAACTAATCAATCATTCTGTTTTTCACACTCATTCATTTAATTTCCTTGTGACCGGGACAGTTTTTATTCTTCTCTCCTTTTATGGGCCTCCATCATTGTTTCCTTTTACCAGTAAAAGCAATATAAATAAGGGCAAGAGAAAGGAGAAATGTTAGGAAATGAGGCTGCAAACTGTGCTGTTGTTCAGTTCCCCTCTCCCATCCTGCAGCCAATTGCTGAAGTGATTTTTAACTGCAGTATCTTTTCCCAGCTTGCTCCTCTTTCATACASGAGCTGATAATTCAATTTATTTCATCTCAGTGACTGAGAAGGGACCTCACCAATGTCTTTAAGTATCTGCAGGGAGGTGTCAGAGCAGGGACCAGGCTCTGCTCAGTGGTGCTGGGCAATGGGTGAGGAGGGAATGGGCAGAAACTGATACACAGGAASTTCCACCTGAAYGTGAGGAAGAACTTTCCTGTGCAGTGACCAAACACTGGATAGATTGTCCAGAGAGGGYGTGGAGTCTCCCTTGCTGGAGATATTCCAGAATTGTCTGATTGCAATCCTGTGCTCTGTTCTCTGAGGACCAGATGTCCCACTGTGGTCCCTTCCAGCCTGACCCATTCTGTGAGTCTGTGATTATTCCCCGTGAAGGGAGAAAAGAAAAAGTCATCAACAGGATTTCAGCAAGGACTGATTTAAATGAGGGTTGCTTTAAATCAGTCCCCCATTCATTCTTATCAGAATTGGGCTAGCCCAACCAGCACAGCATCAYAGAGGGCCTGGGAACCAATGGGCACCAGGAGTGAATTAATAAATATGATGCAGGCTGTTGGTACAGATGGATGAAAAGGTCCCAACTGACCTGGCAGGACTGTGAGAAAAGCGCTGCGGAAGCTGTAGCCCATGGTGTTTGCCCCGAGGCAAATGTACATCCCTGCATCCTCCTCCTTGGCTCGAGTGATCATCAGTTTGTTCAGGTAGGAACCATCTGGACGGGACCAGACCTCCCCCGTGGGCAGCACGACAAACTTCTGCCCCCCAACATCGATGGTGGAGTTGTACTTGCTCTCRGTGCCATACTCCACCCTCTTCAGCCACTGGATGACGGGTTTGACGTCGCTGCGGACCTTGCACTGGAAGGAGGTGGTCCCACCGTAGTCCACTGTCGTGTTGACCGGGTGTGTCCCTGTCAGGATGGGCTTGGACCTTGTCCTCTCTGCACAGAAACACAGGGAGAGCCATGAGAAAAGGTGCTGGGCAATTTCAGTAACTTGCAATTGCAGAAACACAGGAAAAAGGTGTAGGAGAGACGCAAAATCATAGTTCAGTCCAACTCCCTGCCCCAAGGCAGGCTGAGATCTCTGCAGACTTCTGACACACAGACCTGACACACATTTGCCCAGCCTCTGCCAAAGCCTCCAATGCAGATGCTCTCCAGTCTCTCCAGATAACATTGTCTGAGGCTTAGCAAGTCTGGTCTCATGTTTAACCCAAATCTCCCTGTTTCCAACAAAGACATTCCTTTTCTACCTGCATCAGACCTGGAGAAAAGAATGGTTTCTCTCCAAGCCCTTGTATTTTGGAATATTTTCTTCATCCCTCTCTTCTTCACACTGACAACTCTCCTACTGTGGTTCTGTGATGCTCTTACCACCATGATGTTCTGTCTCTTACCACCATCACATTTATAAATCCATTTACAGGTGAGTAAGACAGAGCCTTTAGGTGCTGTCAGACACAACCTCAGGTTTTTACCAGTTTATCTACAAGTACCTATCTATAAAGAACTCACACCAGAACTACTGTTTGGGGATGGTGGARGGTGGGATGAGACATATTCTTTTTCCTGTTGGTCTTCTCAAATGCTCCCCAAGGACAGATAAAATCAGATGGGAAAAGACCCGTTCTTTCACAGACGGTGGCAGGCTGTGGATGTTCTTATGTTTGGTCTGGGAGTCCTTCAGGAGATACCTGTCACCTCTCTTACTGGGCCTTGGAGCTGTCCATGGGGACCAAACTCTATGAGGAGCCATCCCATGTCATGTCATCAGCCCTACCTGTGAGGAAGATCTTAATTTCATCCTCCCCTCCCTGCTTTTATCGTTCCATTCTTTGGTATAATCATCACCCCACTCACTATGGAGAAAATTTTTGGTGGAGGAAGAGCTCAGAAGGCTTGTGCTCTTCTAGCCAATAACAAAATCCTCTCTCATAAATTATTTTTGCCTCAAGTCTCATGTAAGGAAGGAAACAAGATGGAAGGAAAGGAAATCAAACTGAAGAGGTTCACAACACCATCCCTTGCAAGGAAAGGAAATCAGACTGAAGAGGTTCACAGGACCATCCCTTGCAGCATGATCCCAAGTCTTAGGTTGTGTCAGCACCACATAAAGTGAAAGGAAAAATGYATCCCTCATTCTGAGGAATGTTTGATTGGTTTTTTTTTAGCATTACAATCAGATAAATCCGTCACCGTTTCCAGACAAGGAGGTACTGCAAAGCTCCATCCTAGACACAGAGAGAAATTCTGCTATCACAGTGGGTGGTAACTGCTGGCAATCATCAACTCCTTTTGATGGCAAACACTGCTGGATTGAGCATGTGACAAAACAGCTCCCACCAGCCCTGGCTTTGGAAAGAGAGAGGAAGGAACAATGGACCCTCTTTCAGAAACTCGGGATWCGTTCAATAATGAGGGCTCTAAAGATGTGCTTGGGAAACAAAAATACCACAGTAGTCTCTGTAGGCTTTGCCTTGGGACTGTGAGCAGCAATCACAGCCAGGGAGACTGAGACTCAGATAAGCAGGAATTAGGAGTGGAGGCTCRGGGTGAGGGGGGGAAAGGAGGAAATTGAATAAAACCTATAATGCTCCACAGAATGATGTTAAAAATAGAAAGATGTCTGAAAACTGCCTAATGCCCTTATCTCCTTGACTCTGGTTCCAGCTTTGGTTACTGTTTTCACTCCTAGCCAGCAAAAGCTAATGAAAACAAAGGTTACATACATCTTTAAGTTGATAAAAACCTAGATAAACAGGGACACAGAAAGGGGTTTGTTCCTGGTGCTGTCTGGTTTTGATGAAGTGAAAATGCCACAGCTGCCATTAGGATGGGGCTTGATTCATTTCCCTGCCTCTGCTCCTGGTTTTAGTGTAAACACATGTTTTTACTGTCTCCACACAGCTGCATCTTTATCAATCCCAGATGTCCAGCAGGTTTGTGCCTTCAGAGCCCGACAGAGCTTCCCACATGTGCTTTTAATTCCTGCCATTCTAGAGAAAGGGCTTATCAGAGAACAGATCTTTACGTTTAAGAACAATCTCTCGCACTGGGATAAACTTTCTCATGATAAAATGCATGCACAGACAAACAACATGTTTTCCAAGGGCTGGGATAGCCCTCCATGGCCCTGSTCCTCATTTATGAAGGCTGCTCAGTCTTCCCTCCACTCAGCTCATCTTCTCCTCTTTCTTGAGCTGGCTGCTCTGTAATCACAACTTACGATGATGTCATAGAAAAGCACAATGATTTAAGAATAAGAGCTCTTCTCTGGTAAATTTAGGAAAGATTTGAGTGTAATTATTCTCAGCAATAATCGGGGAAACAGGAGATTAGAGAGCAAGAGTCAGAACAGCTAGATAATAAGAAGAGCAATTTACCTCACCACAATTCAGGGTAATCCCCCACAGCTCATCTTCTAAGGACTGAATCTTTAAAGCTGTGTAGGCATCTAAAGATACAGACAGGACCCTAGTGGGTGTTTTGGGGTTTTTTTTTTGTTTTAGTAACTCGTTTGTACCTGCTGGACCTTCAGATAGCCAAATATGTTTTGGAATCTGGCACTAAAGACCTGTGTGGCTAACCACACRACATAAGATGTCTGTTAATTCCCTTGGGACACCTCAAGATTATATTTTGAATTGACTGTTTTCACCCATTCTGACACAGTAGTCTGGGCCATCCTAGATATTTCCCCAACTCCTCCACGGTACTTGAAATGGCTTTTTTTCTGTTAGTTTTCAGTCTGTCCTTGAGTTAACTCTCTTGGTAGAAGACTGAACTGGGCAATGGTAAACTTTCATCACACAGATGATTGTTTCCCAAGTACCTGTCCTCATTCCAGCTCCTAAATTGTGTCGTTGCTCCTCTGTCTCACCGAGGTTTCAGGTTCATTCTAGAGTTTCAACAATGTCTCCTCTGATGTTTTTAGCACTTCCCCGTTCCCATGTCCAGCCATGGACATTGCACCCTCGCCATCACATTATCTGGACTGAGCCAGCCCCTTCTCAAAGCCCCCTCTCTGCTCTCCCCCAGAGGCTGCACTTACGGATCACTTCCACTTTGTACGTCGCGTTGATTTCCCCGACTCTGTTAAACACCCTGCAGGTGTACTTCCCGCTGTCCTCCGGCTTCAGRTTCTTCAGGTTCAACGTCCACTTCTTCTTCTTGTTCTCCCCAATCTCCTGGGGGGTCAGGGGCTTGTTGTCCTTCAGCCATGTGATGTCGGGCCGGGGGTTCCCGCTGGCCACGCACTTGAGGCGGATGGAGCTGCCGACGGGGCGGGCGATCACCCTCCTCCTCATCTTGGCAGGCTGAGTGAACCTGGGCCGGGCTGAAAAAGGCATTAAATGGACTGTGGTGAGCACAGGACACAAGCAAACAAGGAAATTGKTGTCAAGACTTATGGCCAAATTTGCTTGAGAGGCAGCCCCATAAATACCAGCGCATTACTCTCCCCCGTATCAGCTCAAACTGTTTCCCTTAGAAAATTCACCACCCAGCCCAATGCATTTGAATGTTTACTGGTCTGCTCCAGCACAGCACAACCCCAGAATTTCTGTGTCTGTAAGGCAGTTGCAGCAGACCATCTCACAAAATAATACCAAAATCACGCTATTGCAGCTGAAGGCAAAATGCAGCCCTGTAATCWCACTGTAAATTGTTACCATATTCCACAGTCCTTAGCCAAGACCAAAGGAAAATATTCAGATTCCTGTCACACTGACCATTTTCTCAATTTTTTTCCTTGTCACATGAAGCTTCATTTTCTGGAGATGTTATTCCCCTTAGCTCTCATTGGCTTCATTAGGACTTTAGAAGAGTCAACATCTTTTTAATACATAGGGAAGTCTCARCAGTGTGACAGATTTTGTACATTCAAGATCTGAACTTCACTGCATGCAATTCATTCAGCTTCAATACACAAAGTATTCCTGTTGAATGGTCCAAAGAAGCAAACAAAGAAATGTCCCAATAAAACCCCCATGAGAAACACCCAATAAAACCCCCATGAGTTTTTTATTAGTGGATACCCCATGCCAGTCCATCCCAAAACTGGGGAAGCTGAAGCAACAGCTGCTGGTGGACAGAAGCATGGATTAAGTCAGTAATCTTCTTTTAGCAAAGAAATCACCAATATTTCTAAGAGCAGAGACAAGAACATTGGAGAAATGCAGGTCCTCATCTGGCAAAATCAGAAATTTACTAAAGAATTTAAAAGAAATTACAAATTTCTCACAGTTATTTCAACTACACAATGACAGTCCRGGGGCACTTCTAACCACAGGTTGCTGCTGAGAATAATGCCAGTTATGACTCCCACTCAACACTTTCCCCTTCATCTAAAACACTTCTGCCAAATTCACCTGTCTACTTTTTTATTTTAGCAAAGTTAATTTGTCCTCCAAGTCTGTTCAGCACTTCACAGCAGCTTTCTGCCCCTGTTTTTGAACCCTAATTCTTTCTTACTGTGATCTCCCTCCCCAGCCTCAAAAGACAGTCACCCCAGATTTTTGCAAAAACCCTGCTAAATCTTCCTTKTTCCTAGGAAATAAGAGAAAGAGGTAATGAGTAGCCTGTGTCAAACAGGGCTGAATTATGCCCATCACAGAATTGCTAAATTTTCTATCAGAAAAAGCRTCTAAGATCATTGAGTCCAACCATTAATCTAACACTGCCAGCTCCACTGCTAAACTATGCTCCTAACCAGCACATCCACAAAGAGAACACCCCCCAATTTGAGTTTTTTGAGCACTCCCAGTGACAGTGATGCCCATGGCAGCTACAGGATGGCTGGTGGGACTCTCTGCCCTGCTTTGTGAGCTTATCCTTTAGTCCTCACCCCCTGCAGCCCTGGCCAACATCCCTCCCTCTTGGAAGGGGACACCCTTTGGCACACCCCTGTCCACAGAGCACTTTTCCTTAGGGGAAACCATCTGTCTCCACAGCCTTCTCTCGCCCCCCTTGGCTGTCATTTTGGGTCCCAGCCATTTCATGTTATTTCAAACTCCTGCTCAGAAATGCTTTGCTCTCCCTGCAGAGGCTTTCATGTGTAATCCAATGAACCAGAGTAACTCCGGCCCTGCGAGTGTTTGCCGTGACAGCTGAGC